CTTCTAGGTTTCATTTAGGCCTACAAGCAGAATCTCATCGAAGCTACAAGACTGACAGATGCCACCAATCGCCAAATCGTGGTAACAAGTCGAGTCGTTTTATCTCTGGCATGTGAAACACTGCACACCAATCTCGGCACCCAGAGCGCGTCTAATCCCTCTCCGTGAAGATGTAACGCGATAGCCTTATTCATTTCCAAAGTCAAATCATTGGAACTCAAGAAACAGGGAGCCCTGTCCTCACGCTCTTTTCAGCCTCCCAGGGCGAGAGCACGGACCCTTGACGACCCTGGAAATACCATCACCTAGCCCGGGGAATGGGTTCGTCCAAACACGCCGGCCAAAGCTGGGTAAACCGCACAGCGTTGAAACTTCGATTGCGATCCTTCGGCAGATCCAGTCCCGTCATGGCTGCGGTCGCACTCGCATTCACTTTTAATTGATTTTCCTATCTCGGAGTTCCGAGAAAAAAATCCGCAAGGGCGAGAAAGTTTGCACAGGGGACATGCCGTTTTGCTGGAAGTCAATGTTTAATTAACAGATTCGAAAATGTCGCGTTCAACACAGTTTCACAAAAAAAGGTAAAGAAAAAAGATAGAAATTCGACGTGAGATTAAAAATTGGATGAATCTTGGAACAGCCTGAGACCAAGCATACACAATCAAAATATAAATCCTGATCAAACTGCTTAATTATTTCAATCCATAATTTGAACTTCCCATGGAACATACCGTGATAATGGATACACAAACAACATCGCAGATTGTTGGGCAATCTTGATTTTAACCAAACTATGTATCAAACTCTTTCCCCTTATCACTAAACACATGTGAAGGTAGCTATTCCTGCTCTTATAGGGAGTAAGGAATTGATTCGAGTTTAACAGGGTTTAACGACATTTTACTAGTGGTAGAAGCCAATTCTGGCACGGAAAAAAAGCACTGAGGTCCTTCAACGAAACACAAAACAAAACTCTGCAATACGTGCAAGTACATAAAGAGTTAGGAATCTAACCGTTACGAGTAAACAGACGTTCAGCACATTAATCCCATGATGATGCTGCGATTCTATTTTGCTGTATGTGAGTCAAAGTGGCCTTGACTGAGAAAATATACCAACCCCCCCCCCTTTAACTGCACATACTGTCGCTGACCATTCTGCCGTGCTTCGCTTGAGGAACGGGGTCCGGCATCGTCTTTCAAGTTCGAGCGCATCTCGCTGTCTCCTCTTTCCTGATGCCCGACCGTCTCAAATCTCCCAAAACCCCCTACTCGCATCCATTCACGGCAACCCTTGATAAATGGTCGGAGATCGATTATGACGATGCTACTTTTTTCAGCCTTTGTCAGGTATCGATTCTGGTCCCCCCAGTATAATTACGCTCCCTGCCTTTGAAGGAAGTTCGTCACTACTCCCTAAGTGAACCGGGCACTACTTCGCCGTCGATCGATACTTTATCATGCGCTGCCGAGCATTTTTTTTCGCGCCTTTTTGTCCTCGGCAATTTGCCGGCAGGACTTTTCTTTCGTATGTATACGGGATCAAACCTCAATATTGTCAAGAGTTTTAGTGAAATATAATATCACTTACGGCACTCTTTGCAGGATCTCGGAGCGACTAACAAGACATGATATAAAATGTGGCAATCGCCCAAGCGTCACGAGACCGAGAAAATGGCTGCACACTCGTCGTCATGCGGCTTTGTGGTACAAGTTTTATTGAACAGATCCAAATCACCCAGGAAAAAGCTGTTCCGGTTGAAATCAAACATTGTAATAAAGAATCTGTGAAGGAGCAGCACATGGCTAAAAAAGGAATTGTTACTAATGCAGATTCCATTACGATAAGTAAACAACGTCCTAGGTGTAAAGAGAGCAGGGTAAAAACAATATCTGTATAACCATTGCGAAGTTTATTTCAAAGTGTGATTTGCTTCACAAGCCCGAAGATTTTGGCTTTATCTAAACATATTATTTCCAAGCCAGAACCTGAAAAGGTCATGTTGATGCACTTTCATTTCGCTGAATAATATCACCACAACACGGCGCTTTCGGAACCACTTGAGAATGTTGCAGGATGAAATGCCGCGGCTTTGAATTTACAGACGGAGGGAAGGGATCTCAGAAGGTGAATGTGGAAAACAGATCCGGGAGCGCGCAAATAAATGCGTCAAGGAGTTCGAAAAAAAAAAAACTGCACAGACAAACTGCCGATTCGGTCGAACCGCGTGGTGGTGAATAAAACACGTTTCGCAGGGGGTGAAGCGCCTCTCCCGCTTCACGAATCGATGCCCGAAAAGAAAACTGTAATGGATGGAGTATAATATGGGAAACACCCTGAGTAGTCCGCCCCTGCTCGGTGATAATGTTCCTCCTCCCCCGAGGAGTTCTCGTGGTTATTGAGTAGGAACTTGATTCCCGTGGCCGACGGGACCCACAGCCGTTTCTGCCAGCGCGGACTTACCGGTTCCGGAATGCGTGGGAACCTCGAGTGGTTGTCATCTCCTGCGATGGCTATTCAAATGCGAAGGGGGATAGGGCAAACATTCTTGGGGCGATTGTGAATAAAATGTATATGTATGCGATTGATTTCGGACGCTGTGGGAACAAGCACACGCACACAGAGAAGCACAGAAGTACGGAAAATGATGGCTTTGAAACTAGTCGGGCTGCTAAACGTTGGTTACAGTAATGTCAGGTTTTGTCCACAGTTTGTAGGTGCTAAACCCTGCAGAAAACGGGGAGAATGGAAGACACGCGAAAAGGGCAGGAGGCAAGTGGTACAAAAACAAGCTTCGTTCTGTCAGTGCATCATACGAAATTTGTTAGATCCATGATTTAATTATCACTCCAGATTCGTTCTGAGGCTGGTCTTCTGAGCCTCTTAAAGCTGCACAGTCGGATTGCAGCTAGAACTCGACACCACATCTCCCCATAACAATTTACACTGGTACTTGTGTGTCAATCGTTACACAAATGAGCTAATGTTGTCCATTAGCACGCGGGGGAAACACTCCCTCGCCAGCTGCGCCCGTCGATGGACCGGGTCAATTCGAGGCGATCCGCGGCATATCGGCTTCAACCGCGTCCCCCCCTCAAGCTCCACCGTGCCATCATCGATTGCGCTAGCTCTGGGGTTGTGCTGGACGATCGAGCCCCGCGCAGCAGGCTCGGAACAGTGCACCCCAGTTGACCCGGACAAGTCCGAGTCCCGCTCCGGCATTAGCCAGATTAGCCTTGCCCAGTTTACGCCGTAACATTCGTTACCACTCCCCAGGCGTATCGATTCCCAACGGGGGCCTTTCTGAGGCGCGGCAAAACTAAAACCGACACCGCAATTCTAGAACTGACGAACTTGAAGGCCGAGGGGTGAGGGGAAGAATGAGGGACGGAGGGAGGCCAGCCGCAGGTCTTGCCTTCCAGATGAATCGCGGCCGTAGTGCTGCTAACGACCACCGGTTGGTCTCCGTAATCATATTTGAGATCAATTCGATACTTCGCCGTGCCTTCTCCATTACATTCTAGTGGGAGTCGGATTCCGTTTAATCATGCACGCAGCAGGATGGGGGTGCGGGGATGCTCCGAACTATCCAAAATGAGACGTTGGGAGTTTGATCGATCAATTACCCAGCTCCAACTTATTCTTCATATGCAAAAGTAGTCAGTTCCCTTTCTACTTTAATTTCTTTCTCCTTAAATCCTGGCTGAAGGTCAACTGAACTTTACCATCGACAGATGTCAGACAAGATCTCAAAACCCTTTAAAACGTTTATATGAAAGGCTATATAAAGTTAAGTGAAAACAGACACATATGAAAATATAACCTCTTAAACGTATTGCAAAAAATGGACTATGCGACTGTGGACTATCCTTGCCATAAGCACAATTTCTCCACAGTGTGTTTAGATCTAACCGATCTAAACGTAAAATCTGTAGAGACCTAACGAAAACAGTTATTCATTTGAGTACATATTTCAGGATTTTTATTTGTATATATGTTTATCAAATACTTGAAAAGTCTTGGCTGCAAAAGCTGAACAGCGGTAAAATGAACAGCAAACAAAAGAACGTGGAAAATGTACTTAAAAAATCAATGCCATTCGGGCGTGACAATCAATATGAATTGAGAAAAGGAGGTACGGTAACTTGTTGGCACTAGGAGGAAGATCTCTAAAAAAGACATCCCTCCCAATCTGGGATTCGGGGGTGGGTTATGTGCAGACAGAAAACTCGCTCTTGCGGACGACTCTCCCGAATCCCTGGACACAATCGCAGAATTCACGTGGAAAACAGCAGGACACAGCTTCTGCAGGCGAGGCCCTGTCGGTTTGTTTTTCATTCCAGACAGCAATTTGCTGGGGGAATTGGCGGATCACCTGAGCGGAGGGGAATACATTTTTATTGGATATAACGGCACTTCTCTGGGAGTTGTGATCGAGAAGACACTTCTTATTGTATTTAGGTTATCTGAGCGCATTTTAATTAAAGTCTTCCGCCGACTGCGCGCCATTTTCCTGTTACGTTAGGCGCAAAAGCCACCGTGGCCAACGAAGAAATAGTTGGCCATTCACTTGCCGATCAGCCCCCGTATAAATATAACGCCATTCTGCATGGAGGTACTCGAAAGACATATTTTGCAAAGGATAGGTCAACGATAAAGGCGAATATGTGATGCGTTTCTGCAGGTTGAAGTCACGTGATAGACAAAATAAAATAAGAGGACTTTCCAAAGGCCCTTTATTTTATCTTGTGTTTCTCTCACGCATTCGCCTTTATCGTTGACCTATCCTTTGCAAGATGTCAAGATGGCTTATCCTTGGCAAGATGCATTAGGTCAAGAGGTTTCAAGGTGGTTGGAAATTGCTTGGGGTCCAAGAGTGGTGACATGTGAAAGGAAGATCTAAAGTTAATATCACTGGGGTGGACCAAGAAAAGGTCAAACTCATACATTCAGACTTGCGATCGTTTACTGGCTGTATTTTTTTCTATTTTCACTCTCAGGTTACCTAGTGACCACGATGGACAGTGCCACAGCTCACGCCTCTATCCTGACCCTACTGGCTATCGCCGTGGAGCGGTACTACGTCATCTGCATGCCGTTCAAGGCCAACTACACGTGCACCTCCAGACGGACTCTGGCCATCTGCTGTGTGGCCTGGCTGGTCGCCTTCCTCAGCAGCATCCCCTCTGTCCTCATGACCCGCTACGTTCCCTGCCAGAATCCGACCACCGGCGATCAGGCCGGCGAGTGCACCGGCTACGCAAAGACCAGGCTGGAGGAGGCCTTCATCGCCATCATCTTCTGTCTCTTCTTCGTCATCCCCTGCTGGTTCATGACAGCCATCTACTGCATTATCGCCAAGACGCTGCGCATGCACGACAACTACATGGCCGCCATCCGGAAGAAAGAGTCCCTGCAGGCGCCAGCGTCATCCAGCGACCTGGGGTCGCGTGATGGGCGGGTGGTTGAGCTGGCTTCAATGCCCCGCCGGGACAGCGTGGAGTACCTGATGGAGGGCAACCACGTGGCCGGCTCGCCGGACAGCCGCGTCCGGTGCAGCCAGAGCGAGGAGCCGCTCACGGTAGCAACCGTCCAGCGGGAGGCCAATCACAACACGTCCCTCAGACCGGCCAGTAGCGGCCGGCAGCATCAGGCCTCCTCGAACAGCTCTTGCCAGAGTATGGCCAATGCGGCTACGCGGCAGGCCCACCGCCGCGTGGTGTTCATGCTGGCCAGCGTGGTGGCCGTGTTCTTCGTGTGCTGGTTCCCCATGCGCATTGTGATGATGTGGCAGGTGTTTGCGCCGATGGAGTCAGTGAAAGCCTGGTTGGTGAACAACCACCACACCTTTACGGTTATGTTGGCCGGCTTCCGCATCCTCATATACATCAACTCGGCCATCAATCCCATCCTGTACAACCTCATCTCCACCAAGTTCAGGGCGGCGTTCCGGTCGGTCATCTGCTGCGAGGATGCTAGACGGTCTCGCAGCAAGAGGTCCATTTCTACTCGCTCTTTCACTTCCACGTCCAGTCTGAGAATCCATAGCCGCACCACTGACTACCACGGCTAAGCCGCTAGCTGCTTTATACCATTCATCCCGACGTATCGTAGACCTTCATCACGCTCGCGCTGACGTTCGTGCGAGAAGGCCTCCCTTCAAACAGTCTGTTTCACAAAAGACTTTGACCCAGTAATCGAGTAAAAATTTAAAAAAATAAAAAATACACGCACTATCAAATTGTATGTCAATAAATATTAGTTTTTTTCTGAGGGGACCATTGTGTTTCACGCAGTACAAACTAATTTCGTTTATAGAGGTTGTTCAAATGACGTAACATGACGGGCAAAGGTATGCCTGGAAGCGTACCATGTCTGTGGAGATGCAAGCAGTGTCGAGATCTGTGTCCACCTCGACTCCATGGGTTGCGTGCGCATTCCTTCACTTCTAGCCGCTGGTCGTGTAGAATACGCAAGTCACGCTGACTGGCTATTCAGGACAAATATACAAAAGCGTAAATTCAATCACGCGCGTATTTCAAAGGATGCACACTCGCACCTGTGTATTCTCTTGCACGTCACGCACACGTAAATCTGCGTTGCGCGTAAACACACTGACTAAAGTCCCAATTTAAATATCCTAAATTGTGGGATATTTAAATTATACAACACCGTATCAGGGGTTAGATCTCGCAAGGCATGGTGGGAACCATCACGGTGGGAACCATCACGGTGGGAACTAACATGGTGCGACAACTTCGTTCCCATGGAAAGGAGGTTGAACCTGTGTATTTCTGTGGGCAGTTTCATGCACGCCAGAATGTTGAGAACCTCAGCAGGCGCGTGCGTTTCCGTGCACACCTGTTTAAATGGAACGCTGACCGTCAAAAATCACGTGAATGAAAACCCCCTATATATTAGTAACAAAGGGGGGGGGGCAGATGCTCAAATCTGAACGACCCATTAGCAAGTTCAATGACATGTTTGTACGCACTTACAAATTACCCGTAACGCAAGACGGGCAATGATAATTCGGCCGGCGCTTTTGCTTGGCAACCGAGCTCTCACAACAGCGTGATGGAGGTCTCGTCGTTTGGCTACCCTCATGTAGTTAGCCCACCGTGGGTGCCAGTGGTGTGCCTATAGCCGTTGTGAGTTATAACACCTCTGTAATTGTACATACCTCTGTGAATACTGCAGCCACTCTTCACCAACGTCTTGCTTTCCTTAGATGGCTAAATGTTCTTGCATGTCTGTGTGATATAACTGCATTCATAAATTGTGTAAAGCCTATATCAAATGTGATCACCAGGGACTTGCAGATGTCAGAAGTCAACCTCGAGCGTAACTGGTCCCTGTTTAACTTGCTTTGCGAAGATTAATATATCAGTGCGAATACCCGTCGCTTTTGCATTTCGGCGGGGGGGTGGATGAAGATGCTGGAACGTCATTCTAAGGCAAATCGTACGAGGTAGACAAACACGACCCGAATGAACAACGCTAAATTCCCACGATGTTGCAAAAGTACTGTGCCCCTTCTGAATGATTCCACGTCAAAGCCCCGCTCCTCGTATAGCACTTAATGGCATGTGTAATCGGTCGTTGTTTAAATATGAGTATCTGAGAGCGGTAAACTGAAATAGCGGAGAAGTTACGCCTGTGGTGATGCCTAACTCAAACATAAATACACCCCTAGGGCATATTCGATACACAATTACAGTGATTACTTACGGATCTAATATCACCAATACCCCCCCCTCTTTAATGGACGTTACGAGTCCTCTCGTAGAGTTCGTGGGATTTGCTTCAGTTGACAACCAAGAGCAGCCTTCGAGTTTTGCCTTGCCGATGACACGTCTTCAAACAGTCACGGCCGGAAAATAATCTAAAATATTGCATTTCAGTGGCACTGAAGCGCTGTTTTTCGGGCTAATATGTCTTAATTGCTAGTGATGATAACGAGATGGCTAAGATCATCCATCAACTCCGAGGAAAAAAACAGTTTGGGCACGAAAAGTTCTTTGACTTCAAAATATCCTGATTTGAAGGTAATTTTCTTCCACACTCTCGGGGAGACGCTTGCGCGCTCCCCAACGCAACGTTAACACGGCAGGTGCTTCAGACGTCACTCTGTACGTCCACAGCAAACTCACATTCTCAAATCTCTGGGCAATGTCGGTACAAATTCATTATTCTGTGCCAACCTTCGGCGTTGCCCCGTTTTTAATATTTCTTATCAAACGTTACAGCTCGAAATAACGTGGATATCGCCGAGAGAATATAAGTCGTGCTAAGATTAACTGATCAATACCCGGCGCTTTAGAAGAAAAGGCTCAAGTTAACTTAGCCGTCCAAATTGAAACAAATCATGAACGATCAATACCTTTATGCTAGGCAAATTCTTCTGAGATGATGGTCAAACTGTACGCAAACATAAAACGATCGGGGGGGGGTTATTTCATATCAATCCCTCTCACAATGATACATATCGTTTTAATTAACTTGTGAAAGGCTTCCATCAATACGTTTTCAGGTAATTCGTCGGAGCAACAATATCTGTTATAATGAAAACGAAAGTAAAAGTAAAACGTTGTCCTTTTTATTAAATACAAATAATTCAATGAAACCGATTTTTGGTGTTTATTTTCTTCACAGTACTAGACTACGTGATACGTCTCTGCAGAACATATCAACTGGAAATACATGTACGTGTTTGCTTGGTCTCAATAATTTCGTAATGAGAAATACTGTCAAATTTATCTCCACTGCACGAAAACCCCTTCCCATTTGGTATAATTACGAATTGAGAAACACAGTCATAGAGCGGTCACACAGACAAATCAGACATGTGTACAATCCACGCACAGTGGAGTTGAGTTAGGGTTGTCCAAACAGAGCCACCGATGCGATAGGTTAAATCTGAGTGGATGTTCAGTGTACCACATTCTGTCTCGGCTGCTAATGCAAGCAACGTAGTGTTGCAGTCGTTGCTCATTGGCTGCTTTACTCCAACATGCACTTGGGATTGGTCCGTTGTGGACCTGCTCAACAGCACCAGTAGCTTAATCTGTGGCATCAGCGCTTGCTCTCTGTACTTTTTCTCTCGCCCGATTAAAGTTTCTAGCCAGTGGTCCAGCCTTGCCTTTTCTATTCTGTTTTTTCTCTCCCCTGCACGCAGACTAATTGTACCCGCTGCCTTGGCCGTGCAGCCAATACCACAATGGGAACGACGTGACGTCAACGGGCCTCCAATTTGCAATGACTTGTAGCCTGCTCGTAGTCTCTTGTTTCAGTCGCCAATCTAAAGGAACTTCCCCAGTAGAAAACGATATGGGTAGGACAATTTTTAGCTGCATGTGGCGAATGATACAAACAACACAATAGCCCTGGTGATGTCGCCTTACTCAGAGAATAATGATTTCTCTCTAGGACTCACCAATGACTCAAATGATACATGCACGGAGCAAAATTAATCAGCAGTCCGAAAGCGTTTGTGATGCTTCAGTATCTTGTTTTGAATCAAGTGGACTAAATAAACAGTTAATTAATATAGGATGTTGTAGTTTTGGTGCGTCTTCTTCAGGGATCAATGTAATGCGGTGAGTTGGTGTTGCTAGTCCTAGCGTAACTAAGTTCAAAACCCTATTCCCTGTGGACAATGATGTATATCGATATGTTTAAACGACACTTTAACAATTAAATTGATTAATAATACATGTAATTACAAGCCATTTTGAGGCATTCTCATTAATTGTTAATAGAAATTTCCACAGTTGCACAACACAAAGAGGGAAACGAAAATTCGTACTGTATCGTTTTGGCACAACTTGGAAGGACTGGGAACGATCACGCTCCAGTAAAAATGTACATGTACTATATTTCTTAGAAAAAAAAATTGGCTGGCATGTACGATTCAGAAAACATGGTTCAAATTCGGAAGAAAAAAACAAACTGTTCAGACACGCAACCGTAACTAAATTGTTTGATAATCAAATTGTAAGAGGTCGCAGGACGCCAGCTTAGCGCTGATTTTACTCCGTGACCACGAAACACTAAACGAGTCGGATAGTTTACGTGTGCGAGTGATGCCAGTGGGTGTGACTGACAGGGAGGGCGTGGCTTGTGAAATATAGTTTGCGGGTTGAGATGGAAGTGGGTCATTCTGTAAATTTGAGGTCCAAAAGTGTGACATTTTTGTGTCCCTGTTACATCTGACCTTTGTTATTTGACATGGAAATAACACCAGAATTGATTTCAAACTATTACTTTTTGTTTGGCAGGTAAATTTGGCGGGAAAATGTGTTTTGAACTTACAAAATCATATTCAAATGTAACAGGGACACGAAACAAGTGGGACCCTAATTTATAGAATTACCCAAGTGCGATACAGCAGTGACAAGAATGAGAGAAATGTAAGCTGCACTGACCGTATTGTAAAACCGTGTCTCTGTCTTAGATTAGCGGGGCCTTTAATTAAATGTACGTTTTTTTGTATGAAAGTAAATAATGCTCTGGGGCTCTGGAAATTTTAAACACTGTTAATATGTAAAACTAGTGTGGCGTTGGCTGAGTTGAAATAAAAAAAAATCACGCTTACTGTACGAAATTGCTTTCAAGCATCAAGTCTTTTTGACCTCTGTTGTGTACGTTGGCCTATGCTTTATGTAAATATACACAGTGGGTTAATTATTAGCGGCACTTAATTACACATATTAGGATTTTATCGTAACAATGCAATTACAATAAATGCAAACCGCATTTGTTGCGCGTACACTGTATAATATTTAGAGTCAGAAAGCATGCTTGTTTTTCTTTTGCTTAGACACACTGTGTGCTATGTACAAACCCTTATATTTTTTAGTTCTTAGTTCTAGTTGAAAATAATAAATATTCTACTTACAGTTAGAGTAAACAAAATCTGAATAATGCCAAAGAGCCCGAGTCTTGTAGAGTATTTCAGTAGTCTAAACAAACAAAACAGGCATCATTCTACGAATTCTGAAAAGGAGTTACTCATACCAGAACGATTTGCAGTGTTTCATAAATGGGAGGATTTCATCCCCCACTGTCATCCTTACATAATATAATTAATTTTGTCCTATTATCGAGACAGAACACGCTTTCTTGTCAGTCCTAAAAACTACATGTCTTTCAAGAATGTTCCGTCAATTCCTGAGTTAAGCTTTGTATTTATCCATGTTCTGGTCCTCTGGCAAATGGATTTTTACGTCCACGTTTTCCATCCATCCCCATTTGGTCCACAGGGAGACTTTGGGAGATGATTGAAGGCAAAAAATACAACCGTTCCGTTGCTGATGTTTTCCACCATGTTTCAACTGTCGGTAGACCTATGCTGAATCGAAAAATGACCATTGTGTTTGCTGCCACCAAGCGTCTAAAAAGCCTCCCATTCAATTACGCTGCCATCGCATTTTGAAATCAAAGGGCCTGTTGCTTTGATGTCTCATCGGAATGGCACAGTGTTAAATGCATTGTTTTGTCTGAAAGTGCAAGCGCATGATTAAAAAAAATGAACGGCATCAATGACAAGTTGAAAATGGCATGCCTACGGTTATGAATGTCTTTTACTTAAATGAAAAGATCCACAACATTTGACTGCAAAATAAACACGTTACAAGTGGCTTTGACAACTTTGGCAAGGGGAAAAGTAACACCGTGTCGACCAGTTGCCTTGGCGACACACATCAAATGTAACGTGAAACTCCCACCAAACGTTTGAGGAATGTACTTTGGGACGCAAACGTGCCACAGCGGGGGTGTGCCCGGTCGCAATATCGGCAATCAAGGCGAAAGTGCGCTGTGTTCCCCCAGTCAACCAACAAGCCGGGCGCCAAACTCGGAGACAAAAGAAAGGGTTGGGCTAAAGTGGGCTAAATCTTGCTCAAAGACGCAGGGTACGGGCGGTGGGACAGCTGGGCCTAGATTTTGCTGAAAGGGCATGCCTCGTCTCAAATGCCACCTGGGGCGTGCTCTTGAAGAGAGGACAACCTGGCAGAAGAGCCGTTTACGTCACGACGGAACTCATTCATTGTTCATACCATTGTTGATACCTGCGTATCTCGATACGGGCGTCACGTCTAAGGTTGGTCAATACTTTAAGTTTGAGTTTAGTTTCTATATTGAAGGCACGTGGTGTGTATGTACGGCAAACAACTCTTTCCAATCTATAGGGAGATTTTGGAAGAAAAGCCGAGTTCCAAAGCTGCACTGTGTGAAAGGATATATATCGAGAATCATTTGGGACTTTTTTCTTTTGTTGTGGGGTTTTTATTCTCCCTTTCGGGGTAAATCCTTTTGGGAGGAGGAATTGAAGATTGACCTTTACGACCCTAAGGAGGGTTGAGGCTCAGTTTTAGGAATCTTACATTTTTGGGGAGGGAGGAAATTCAAATAGTCAACAAAGAATGGTACACACCCCATTATGTTAAATTTTTCTTCTTTGAAGAGGGCCACTGGGCCTCGATGTGCCAATTATGAAGTTTTGAATGCTTTGACTGGTATTTTTTTCGGATTACAAAGATGCCAAAGAGGAAAAGGCAATTAAGTGATAGCCCAAGTATCACCTGTTGATCAATGGATCCCACACACTCCGCAACAACCCGTGCTGTTGAGGACCAGCGCCATGCACGTCTGACTGCAAGACTGTTCTTAATTGCTAAACGCAATTTTAGGAGTGACGGTATCATTGGCTTTGTCAAAAACATGACAAAATCGCGCCAATTGGTCGAAATCCGGAGGTCAAGAGGGAAATCTGCACGCACGGATGATCATGGACACTTGCTGCGCGGGGGCAGCCACATTACAACGGACGACCAGCACTACACCACATGACCAATCATGTCTTCTGCAGTTGTCCAAACATCAAAACAAAAGCCAGTCTATTTCTCCTGATCTTCCCACGAATCACTGCATCTACCTGACACTTTCCATGCCGCTGGGGACAAAAATGTGTAACGCAGCCACTGGTCTACGTGCAAAAATTGACGAGAACGCATCACTCTCATGCCCTAAATGTGATAAACACCATCATCAGCGATACTGTAATCAAACCAAAGTGCATCCGCACATGGGTGGATATCTCATGGATTCCGCTTGCCGGAGAGCGCCGGGACATTGCATCATACATAGTCATAGCCACATATTTGAAATAAAAAAGCTGTGCGTATGGTTAAGCAGTCTTGTTGCGTCCCGTTTAGCTGTTTCGAGGCCCAATTTAACCCAGCTGGTCCAGCCCAGGCCCAACCCAACCAACCCAACCCAGTCACCAGGAAAGACTCGACTCGTGTAGGCCAACACACTTTGAAGCACAGGACATCTTAAAAACAACAAAACCTAACTAACACATTCAAACTTTGGCTAATACCGTAAACCTTGCAGCAAAAACACAAAAAGGCCTCCTTTTTGGACCAAAAACCCACGTTATACGGAGACACTCGAATTCCCCTGAAGTGTTAAATGCCTCCCTAAGGTAACAGTGATAAGTAAAATTATTTCCACTGCTATTCAATACAGACAATATACAATTGGCCAGACCTAGCCACAGCCCCAGCCGCAAAGGAATAAACAATATTTATGTGGAAATACGTACAGACAGAATACAAAATACCGTTTCTGTTATATTATGAATAATTAAGAACTTTAGTTACTTTTGCTAGTTTCTTTTGGCAGGTAATGGCACTTTCATCTCTTTACTAGCTGCTTTAATTGCCAAAAGAAAGTGTTTTCTTAAGTTGACATTTACGAAGAAGGTTGCCCTTCAACGCGAACCATCTCTATACAGCGCGCAACCATCCCCCCCGGAGCCCTCACATTGTATACGCCATGCGTGCTAATGAAGTCCGGGAGAGTTATCACCGCTGAAAGTCACCGAATAACAACCCACATGCACGTTGCGAAGTGCATCTGCTTCCCGACCTTGTTGACAGCGCTTGCTTCAGCCTGTCCGGCTGTCTACCTGACCGTGACTTGTTATCCCTCGTCTTCCAACGGCAAATCCGCCGAGGGCCTTTACCAAATCCCGCTAATTTCCTTGACCGTTTCCGGTTGGTCGAATTATACGCAAGCCAAGGTCCTTCTAAATGCGATTTTTGTATAGGGGATTAGAGCGGAGATGTCATGCGTGCTTGCGCGGTGTAACGTACTTCACAGATTTTTTCTGTTGATGCACGAGAGGCAACATTTCTCCTTGCAGAGCTTTCATCGTGATGCCTTCATCAAGACCGCGTTGGCAACCGGGACTGCGGATTTTCTTCAATATCGATTTGAAAAGCAAAACAATCACAACCCTGCAGTGAAACGAAAGGGTGTCATCCAGGAGGAATCGAAGCGATGATTAATTTGTACCAAACAACTTCTGCATTCTAAAAGTCTCTTAACTCTCATGGAAATAAAAAAAAACAAAAAGCAACCCTCCCAGCAACGAGAAACTACACCTCCTTCTTGTATTTACTCTGAGGCAATGGGCCAAGCTTGGCCGCTTGGTGGCAGCACATTTGTAAGTTTCCTCCGTGAACTGTTTGGTTTATGCTTTTGGTGTGCGTACTTGGCGACTTAAACCAAACACTGATTAACGCTGTGCTCAGGATTTCGTGAAATCTGAAAATCGCGGCATTTTCATAGAATCAAGCGTTAAAAGACGACTTCTGGGAGATCAACTTTCCTTCCCAGTATCAGTTTCTCCATGAATTAATGATGACTAACTATCAGCTAGGGAACCGGCCCCCAGAATGCAGCAGGCGCACGCAGTCGAAGGTTCTGACAAACGACTCCTTTCCGCTCTTACTCATTGTGGCAAAGGTGAGTTTGTGACCTGTGGCTCGCCTCCTGAAAGAAACTTACCACACGGAGACCGAATGAATGCCCATGTATATAAATCATCAGTCAAGCGGGCGAAACAGATGTCAATATTTCACTACTACCTTTAAGC